ACACTGCAACTCCAGGAAAGACAGCGTTGTTGGAGAAATCCATGGCACAAGCATCGACAGCGAGCCTCGAGGTGCCACGCCTGCCCCTCGAGCCGCGCCGCCTCCAAACAGCGCCAGCGTCTCCGCGGCCTGTACACTCACCAACGACGCGGTCGCCGCGGAAGGAAGCGTGGCGGTCCCCAGCGCCGTCGCCCCGACAGATGACGACAACGCCTCGCAAGCCGACACCGCGCAAGGAGCCCGAGCTCGCCACGCGTCCTATCGATGCCGCCACGACGGTTATTGCGGCCAACTCGGCTGCAAAAACCTCGGACGAACCAGAGTTGATCACGCGCGACGACGTGGCACGGGAGGTGTTGATTGCAACTGCCATCGTGAGCTCCGCGCTGGATGACGCGATGGTGCAAGCAGCCAACGAGGCCTTGCGGCGGTCGTTTGACCCTCCGCCCAGCACCCCCTCCCCTCCCGATGCCTTAGCGTCCATCGCCAAAGACGGCATTTTCGCGCAGCTGTTTCAAGAGGTACCGAGGTCGCCCGTGCGTCACGAGTCCAAGGATACGGACGACATTGTACTCGCTACGATGACGGTACTCGTTGCAGAGGCCAAGAACGAAGACACCGCGAGAAGCATCGCGACGGACGAGGTCACAGTGACGGCCAGCAACAACGTCACAGGCGAGGACACTGCGGCGAGCGTGGCCATGGCGCTGTTGGCCAAGCAGTTGACACTGGCGCTGTTGGCCAAGCAGTTGACACTGGCGTGGGTGTATCACGCAGCCGCCAGCGTAGTCGACGACGCAACAAGCATCTTGGACGAGATGACAGTGACGGTCGCGACCCTGTCACCCGAATGCACGAGTGTGGACGCACGTGATGACGCGACCTCGGACGCTAATGACGCCACGTCAGAGGACATTCTTGGTGCAACGAACGAAGAGACGATCATTGCACGGCCCCCGTCTCTCGCGAGGATTGATGCTAAGCGGGACATGGACCTCGAAGCTGCATTTACAGAGGCGATAGCGTCAGAAAGCACCGGCGATGCAGACGCTAGACCCAGCGAGCTCGAGAGCACAAGCTTGCTGGATGACGAGCCAACGACGAAGGTTGCAGCTGCCATTTTGGACGCCTTGTCAAGAGATGTCTCCAGCCCTCGTCTCGTGGAGAGTGCCCTAGTGTCCGAGACGACAAGCGACGCTGCTGCGCTCCAAGCACAGCTGGCGACAGAGGCGCCAAGCGAATCCTTCGACGAGGCAGTCTTGATCTCGATCGTGGCCGGTCGCTTGGTGCGCGCCTGGATGCATACGACGACAGACGAGATCGCTTCATCTCGGCCGCACGAACACGATCTTCAAGCTCCGATGCAAGTACCAGATTCGAACCCAGTTCCAGATTTCGTGTCTCCACTGGTCAGCGCCAGAGATATCATCCCAAGCACGGTGCCAAGTTTGCTTAACCTTACATTGGATATGGCGTCGCAGCTCGTGCATGCGTGGACCGAGGCCGCAGTCCGAGCCATGACCACCCACCGCGACAGTGCGGTGACGTCGGTGGCCATCGAGACGGTCGCGCCAGCACCGGTCGTCACGGTCATCGACTCACCTTGCCTTGACAACTGTCCGCCAATCAACGCATCAATCCAGACCGTGCCGATGACGGAAGAAGAAGAGGACAGCATGTGCTCGCAGGTCGCCACATCGATCCTCGCGGGCCACCTCGTGCGCGCGTGGATCGCCGATACGATCGCAGAAGTTGCTTGGTTCACGTCTCGTCCCCATGAGCACGACGCTGCTGTGCCGTCCTTGAACAATGCCACGCCATCGTCTCTGCTCGAGAAGGCGGCAGCGCTAGCCTCTGCCCCGGAGACGATCGACGCCAGTGAAATGGCGACGCATGACAACGAGGTGGCTGTGGCCTTTCTCGCCGGCCGACTCGTGCGTACGTGGGTCTATGAGACCTGTGGTGTCATTGCAGAACGAGCCCTGGCGTGTACTGCTGCGTCACTTGCTCCCCTCGACGTCTGCGATGAGATCGATTCTGTTGTCGTCTGGCCAGCAGAAATCTCCAAGGACGAGACGCCCCAGGATGACATGGTGGACGTGGCCGCCTCTGTCTTGGTCGCTCAACTTGTCCGCGCATGGCTGTACGAGACGATGAATGGGGTCGCCCAACAACTCTCAGCACGACATTTTGAGCCTTCGGCAGTCGCACCAGATTGTGTGGTAGCATCAACGTCCTTGTCGGTGGCAGCGACGACGCTCGAGTCTCCCCTCGCTCTAGAGGTACCTATATCAGATGACGAGACAACCGATGACGATATTGTGGACGTGGCCGCCTCTGTCTTGGCCGGTCAACTTGTCCGCGCATGGCTGTACGAGACCATGCACGAGGTCGTTCAGTTTTCTGCACGACGCCACGAGCATGCCGCCGACGCTTCCGCATGCGCCGTGACCGAAGCCCCTGCGTCACCCGTGGTCGTTGATGACGCGCCGCCTACGTTTTCCATGGCACCGGTCATTATTGATGGTGCAGAGCTCGAGACAAGCGATGACAGTATGGTGACCGTCTCGATCCTCGCCGCGCAGCTCGTGAACGCGTGGGTCTACGAAACCATGGACAACTGTATCACCCAACGATCGGCCGAACAACTCGAGCTCAAAACCAGCAATTCGCTAAGCGAGCTTCAACCATCACGCCGCACCACGGACGAAGAGTTGTCTCCAGGCAGTGATGGTACATCTGCCGTAGAGCCACTCGCCGATGACATCAGCGACGCATCGCTCGTGGTTGCAGTGTCGATACTGGCTGGACAACTCGTTCGTATGTGGGTCTACGACGTGATGGACAGTATTGTCCAACGCTCGATACAGCAGCTTGCGTCGGCCCTCAATGTCGCTGATGACGCGCCGCTGGTAGCCATCGACGCTGTGTCCGCGGACGGCAAAGCGTCCGATGAGCCTCGTGACGACACGGTGGCGGCGTCCATTTTCGCTGGGCAGCTGGTGCGCGCGTGGACGTACGACGTGATAAACGAGATCGCGCAGGTGACGGCGCGACGGCACGAACATGCGCCGTCATGTGCTGACGCCGAGACCGTCGTCTCTTCGATCGTCATTACTGAGACGGAGACAGCTGATGCTGAGACTGCCGATACCGAGACCTCTGACGCTGTGGACGTGACACGCGAACAGGTTGCTGTCACCACAAATACGGCTGGATTGCTCTCAACCAACGTCCAAGAACCACCCGAGGAAGCTGAGATCCTCGAGCCAAGCGCAAGCGAGATGGATGAGATCAATCGCACGGTCGCTGCCTCGATGCTTTCGGGCAGCTCGTGCGTGGATGGCTGCACGAGGCGCTCGATCATTCTCTCGCATCGCGACTGTCCGACCCAGCGCCCCTTCTGCCCTCCTCGACGGACCACGTCGCAGCGTTGATAGCGCCGTGGACACAGCCGACCCATGGCCTGTACGTCGAAGTGGCCGAGCACTTTGAGGCTGCTTCGTGGCGGCCCGTCCCGGCCTCAACAACAAGCGCAGACCACTCTCCCGTCGCCGTAGAGGGTCGTGATTGTGAAGCAACAATAGCAAATGACGACGCCTGGGTCGGCGACGCTGCTATGGATGCAGTCCCGACTATATCGGAGCTCCAGCGCCTGCCCATGGACGTCGTTGTGCCTCTGCCAGCATCCGAGTTGCCAGATCTTGTCGAGACGATGCCCAAGGTGCCGCTTTGGCGCGTCAACACGGAGCTCTCTTTGCCCATCGATGACGCCATCACCGCTTCTCGGATTGCTGATCAGCTCGTGCGCGTCTGGCTACACGACGCCGTGTCTTCGATGGCTGTGAGTACCTGCAAGCCATTGCGTAGCGTTTTGCTTGTCGAGGGCGCGTCCGTTGTGTCTGCCAACGAGAATGCCACGCGGTTGCCAGCACGTCCCGACACCTCCAAGCAAGCGAGCTCCTCCTCAGCGGTCGATCCGACCTTGTGCGCACTTCTATCCCGGCACCTTCTGTCCACGTGGCTGACAGAAGCCATGGAACGTACTGCAGCCAACGCTGTCTGCGTTCACAAGGAAATTCCAGCGGCCTATGACCAAGCACAAGCAGACGCGCCACCTGCTAGTATGCTCTCGGTGGTGCCCCCTGCACCCCCCGCTTTGGTGGTGACTGTCCACACGGCGCTTGCCAAGATCGAGCAAGCCGTAGCGACAACACTTGTTCACCGGTGGCTTGTCGACGCAGTCGCCAAGGCTGTCGACGACGCTGCGCTCGAGAGCTCCGACTCGGAGACAGCCACGTCCTATGTCTCGTCGTCTGATAGCCGTTCGAGCCTCTCGAGCTACTCGTCCGAGTCGGCGTCGAGCTACGGGTCGTCGTCGCTGAGCTCGTCCAAGGCTTCGAGTGTGTCCGATCTCCACGCATCGTCCGTGAGCTCTCTCTCGCCTCTCGATGAAGCGAGCTAAGACGTACTACTCGTACTGGTTTTGTTGCTGTTTTCAATTGATATACTACTCACTATTTGCTGTCACGATCATCGCGGCAAGAGCTTCTTGGTCTCGCACCACGTGCGCAGCGTGCGTGCAATACCTTTGCCTTGGTGGTGCTTGGAGCTCTCGAGCATCGTGAGCACTTGCTGGAGCTTGACCGGGTCGCACTTGCCCGTGATGGACTAATGCCAACATCGATATTGTCATGTAGACTATAGACAAGTTGTACCTTGTTGAAATACCCCACGCACGCGCCGCGCTTGGCCTCCCAGTACTCGGGGTCCGGGTCGACGCGCTCAAGGACGTCAAACGCCTTGGCTGCAAAATAGTAGTCGGCCATCTACAAGAAAGCTCTTGGCAAACTGGCGGCTACTACCACATGACGTACGAGGTAAAACTCGTGGGCGATGAGCTTGAGCAACTGGAGCGCGTCGTTCGAGTCTTGCATGTTAAGGTACATCTCCCACGCCAAGTGCGACTGCTGGATCGACCGGATGTGGCAGCGCGCGAGCCAGGCGCAGTAGAGGTACCGGTGCTTCCAAGCTGGCTCCTGGATCTGCGTAAGCACCGACTCGGCTTCCTACATGAATACAGTATATATGAAGTCGACAGCCCACTAAAGCAATACGGCGCTACCGAGTAGCAGCCCATGGCGGCGAGCGCCATGCCATAGTTCCAATTGAACGCATCGTTCTTGACGTGGTACATGGAGATCGACTTGAGATACGTCACGGCTGTCTCAAACTACTCAACGCAGTCGGAGGGTTGAGAGCAATAAGATGCCGACCTCCTTGCGCAGCATGTAGAACGACGCCATGCATTGGCGACCTCGGATCGTGTCGCATTCGGACGGGGACGCGCCGACCGTCTCGAAGAACTTTTCCGCTAAAAACAAATGCTCGTCCGTGCCGCCTTGGCCGTCGCTTTGGCCTTTCCAGCTGTGCACGACGCCTGCACGTTGCACGCTCACACAACGCTATTCTATCAATCTATCATTCTCTACCTTTGAGAGCATACTCGATCGGTGTCGACGGCTCTAGACTCTCGAGCAGGTGGTAGGCCAGTCGCATCTGATGTCGCTTGAGGTGGAAGATTGCAGCGTTCAGGAGCGCTTCGGGCAAAATGCCAAAAAGCGCCGTCCACACCGTCAAGCTGTACTCGGTGTCGCGAAACGCCATGATGTTGTGCTCGAGCAGCACGTGGGTCTTCAGTGCGTGGGTCTAGAACCAAGACGCTCTGGGCTTGCGAATGGAACGGTGTTTCTCGCAAAAGTACCGGCAGCGCGAGGCTCTGCTCCGCGGCGAAGCCGTCCGTGAGATGGTACAAGTTGCACGCGCGGAGGTTCTGCGCCACGACGCTGTGCGGGTCGAGCGAGAGGTAGTTGTTGAGCATCTCGAGCGACACGTCGTAGTACTCGAGGTTGTAGTAGCACATGGCGAGGTAGACTTGGACGGCTGCGTAGCCTTCGTCCCGCGCCGCCATGCGCTTGTAAATGTCCATGGCCTAGTATACATCGTCGGTTTCGATAGACAATTATGTCCACCAACAGACGCACGCCTTGAAAGTTGCGCTGGCGGAAGAGAATCGCCGCGGCCGCGAGCTGGTCACGCACGCTCGACGTCAAGAGCGGGCCGAGACGCGACGCGACCGTCATCGACTTGTCCTCGCGCTGCGCAAGGACGAGCTCGAGGCGATACCGCGCAGCTTGCAGCGTCTCGTGCTGCAGCGTCGGCGGCAGCGACTGTGTGAGAACGTCGTGCGCCAAAGCCAACTCCTGGGCGACAATGGTAGTTATAGCGTGGCGAGCAACATGCAGCGTACGTGGAGGTAGAGATAGCAGCAAGCGCGCTGCAGGTGGATATAGTCGGCCACATGGGCGCTGTGATCGGGCTCGTTCTCGTCGTCGTCCATGGTCTATGCCATGCATGAAGACGAGATTGATGTCCCGGAGCGTACGAGCGCACTGTCGAGCTGCTGCAGCGCCAGCTCATACTCGCCGAGGTAAAAGTGGCAGTACGCGCTCCAGAGCGCGTTCGTGCGGCGGCTATGGCTCTTGCCGTGCTTGGCTTCAAAGGCGAGGAGCGTCAACGCGCCGGTAAAGTCGCGTGCTGCCACGTACGTCGGTAGCTCCCACTTCTTTCGCTTCGCTGCCTTCTTGGCATCGAGGCTGCTCTTCGCATCGACGTCCTTGCGCTACAGCTGAGGTCGATGCGCTGCAGTCAAGGACACTGGACCTACCGGCGCCGCCTTGGACCCACGACGCGCTGGCAGCATCCGAAAGGTCGCGTCAAAGATTTGCTTGCAGTCCGGATACAACGAAATCCAGCACTTATCTGGTTGTTTGGATGGGTATCGCCATACCGAATCGCAAGCCCAGTTGACGCACACAACGAGCGAAGCGCGCCACGGGCAACACTAATGATAATGCGCAGAGCTAGCGCTGCAGCTGGACGAGCGGCTGCGCGCACGTTGGGAACTATGGCTGGATGTCGGCCATTATCTGGTGGCATGCTATCCGGATGGTTTGGAAAAACCACCCAGAACGCAAGCCCGCTGATCATGGCCGAGTATTGAGCCGGCGTCCGTGGGCTGCATGGTCTCATGGCGGCGATGTGCGTAGATCCTACGAGTACCGCAAGAAGCTCGACGAGCAAGTCAAGGAGACGATCAACCAGAGGCTTGTCGAGTCGGGCGAGAAGGAGCGGTACGGCTGCAAGGCGCTGGCATCGCCTGCTCATCCTCGATCGATCGTAGGCTCAAGGAAGCGTTGCGGCAAAAGCTCACCGCGTGCGGCTGGCGCGATGAGATGCGCACGTACTGCAAAGGTGCAGTGCCATGGATCCAAACTTTCCTGGTCACAATGCATGCGTGTAGAGCTTATCAAGACCAAAGGGATCGACCAAATCACGGTCGAGGACCTCGTCGACGAGATCACGCCCAAGGGCCGCGCCGCGGTGCCCGACTCGATCAAGGCTGAGATGCTCGAGCGCATTCGCACGTTTCTCGATGCGGCAAAGTAAGTCAATCCTACGTGCGATGCTACTACTGCTCTTCTACCACGACTGCCTCGCACCACCACAAGAGGAATGTAGCATCAAAGATGGAACCTATCATGTCGATTACGACTGGCTGCCGTACGAGGGCGCCGCAGCGTTGGCCTGCGAGAAGGCGTAGTTGGTCGCTTGCATCGCAATGTTCGGGTTGTTCGAGATAAAGTTCTGGGCCTCCTTGTGCGCGGCCGCATACCCGACCGTCGGATCCGACGACGACGAGAGGTTGCCGTTCTTGAACTCGGGGTGGCGCATCATGGCGTAAAAGTTGAGGAACGCGTTGATGCACATGATGATGCCGGCAATGTAGCCAAGGCCGTCGTCCGTGCCAAAGTCCATGAAGCCAATGAAGAAGATGAAGAACGCGCGGCCCTTGTACGAGTAGAGAAAGCCAAAGTTGGTGCGCAGCGTCTTCTCAAAGCGCGAGAGGCGGCACTCGAAGAGGAGGAAGAGCACGCCAAACATGATGATGTAGACCGAGACAAAGACGGCCGTGAGGTTGAACGTGATGATGGACGCAATACCGCCGATGCCGGCAAAGATCTGCAGAATCGCGCAGAGGATGTTGCCCACGCGCATGTACCGAAGCAGGCGTGGCGTCTCCATCTCCTTGATGTCGCGCACGTGCTGGATGACGCTCTTGGGTGGCGTCGCGCTGCTCGGCGGCGTGCTCGAGACGCTGCCCATTGGCTTGCCGCTGCTGCTCATGGCTCGAAAATCGAAAAAATCCCAACTGGCTGCGCGAGGGTGGTCACGTATCCGGATCGCTCGTTTGTCAGTATCCGGACGCAGGTGATCGCAGGTCCATCAACAACACTCCTTGCAGGGACTTGAGGCTTGCTCCATGCATCGTTGTAGCTCACGGTGGCGGACCGTCATGGCGCGTGGGAAGTTCGTCGAGGAACGGGACGCGGATGCTCGGATAAATCTCTTCCATGTATCGACATCGTGGTCATCCCCCAAGGTGCAAGTAAAGGAATTACACATAATTGTATTACATGGTCGATGATGGTGGTCCCATCAACACCAGCTTTGTTCGCACTGGATCATGGACTGCGGGACCAAGCACTACACATAGAGCCAATGCCAATGCGCTCGTCCTGTCGAAGTCGATTGGTTGAAGTGGTATCGGTGGTCGCTGGCCACGATCTTGGAGGGCTAAGATCTTTGCGGACGCGGAGGTAGCCCGGTTGCTACATAGTAGATCCTTTCATTTTTGTTGTCCTTTCGGATCAAAAAAGATTGCGGCCCGTTTCAGAGTCCGATTCATGGCGCTGGCCTTCATCGACAACGACAAGGAGCTCACGGACACGTTCGTACGCGCCGAGAAGGTTGCGTCGACGCTCCTCTCGCGCTTGCAGTCGGACCCTGTCGCGGTGGACCCGAGCGTGTGGCCGCTGCACAACTGGGACGACGTCTTATGGGCGCTTAAGCAGCAAGTGCTGCACGGTCCGTGCGAAGAGTACCGCGGCTCCAACGAGTACCACTCCAAGCAGTTTGCCTGCAGTACGACTCCGCTCGGTGCGGCCTGGTCACCACCACCTCCATAGGCAACACGTCCAAATGGCTCGGTTGCTGTGGGCGCTTTGCCGGCGAAACCCGCTTGTACGTACGACACCTTGTGTCCAACGTGCCAAGAGTACGCGATAGACAAAAGTGGGAAAAGCTCGGGCGCATGTCCAAGACGGACGCGGCCGTCAAGTACATCCGCGTGCTCTCGGATGTCGTGCCGACGTGGAGCAGCCCCGCGACCCCCGATGTCGCGCTGCTCGTACGCTGCCTATCGTACTATGCAGCAATAGCCTCGCCTGACGTACTAGGCCGAGTGGACGCTCGACTCGTCGTCGTACGTGTGTTCCAACTGCAGCGAAGGGTTTACGCTCCTGAACCGGCGCCATCACGTAAGCGCTGTCGCGTCTTCGGTAGCATGTTGTTCATGTACCTGCAGTGCCGGCGCTGCTCGCGGCTGGTGTGCGCGCCGTGCTCGTCGAGTCGCATCGGCTTGCGGCTCTCTCCTGGCGTGCCCCAGCGCAAGCAACGTGTGTGCAACCAATGCATGGAGCAAATCCCCGCGCCAATCCTCAAGGTCCTCGCTACGGGACAAGAGATTGCGCCCGACTCCAAGCTACTCCTGCTGGGACAAGTCAATGACGTCGAGAGCACGGCCCCCAGCGAGGTCGATGCCGAGCCAACGCAGGACATGGCGCCATCGCCCGCGTTGCCACGTACGCACGCGATGGACGCTGTCCTTTGGTGTGGCTCATGCGATGACGTTGTAGCAGCGACGCCTCCAAAGAAAGCTGCCAAAGTGACGCTCATCAAACGGGGCTACCTCGATCGCATGGTCGGCACGCGCTTCCACAAAGCGTGGGAGCGCTTCTTCTTTGTGCTCCTGATTCGGAAAGGGTCTGTTGGCATCTACCTCCACGAGGACGACGTGACGCCCGTCGAAGTGTACAAGCTCAGCGGGTACTCGATCCGCATCAAGAGCGAGAAGCGGCGGCCGCACCAGTTCAAGGTGCCGCCTTCATCTCTCGCTGCCAACCGTCGTTTCACACTTGCCGACGCTAGGTGATGCACGAGTCCAATCCTGCGCTTCGGCTCTGTGCCGAGTCTCTCCGCGAGCTCAACGCGTGGGTCGCCGCCTTTGCCCAGGCCATTGACACCTCCGCGGCCTCCCTTGTGATCCGCGCCCAGGACCCGCAATAGTGAATTCGTAATCCAATCCAACCGCGTCCTGTGATTGGAGTAGCGCCACGTGGTCCATCAAATGTCAGCCAATCAGCGGCGGCCATTTAAAAACGCAACGCCATGCTGGCGAGAAAGGCGGGTTGGCAGATGATGTGGCGGCCGGCTGGCGGCGTCGATGGCGACGCGTCCAGGACCAGGACAAGGAGTCGGCGCATGCTGGCGCGCACGGCTCGATGAGGACTCCTCGTGCTGCTATACATGGGGACATGGATGGGCAATATGGGACACAGTACCGGTAGCCAAGACAGGCCAAGATATCCGCGTTCGGCTGGTTCTTCTGGCGCAAAGATACACTTTCTCTGGTTGAAGCGCACAGAGGCGGCGCGCGTCCACGCTCCTCTTGGGTGCGAGCCACATCCCGCATCATCACATCATCAGACGCAGGAAACCCCATCATGCTTGTACAAATGGCAACTCTAAGAAATCGACGCGAAGATGTGGATGGGGTATCAAGAATTAACATATTATTAATAGATAATACGAGCGTGTCTTCTCATCGTACACGCTATTCTTACTCATATGGCCTACAATCTCTAAGGGTCGATCGCCTCGGGTCACCGCGTCGCAAAGCTCGTGCCGTCCGACGTGCCTTATTTACACACGTTCCATACTCTACAAAGAGCAGCGTCGGTCGGGGCGGGGCTTGCTAGCAGCGGTCGAGGCGCTGCGACCGTGCTACTTATTCCATGTAGCATGGCGGCGCGTTCATGACACCCGTAAAGATCTCGACCGTCTGGTTGCCTGCTGTGACGAGCACCTTGCCCGACGGCGTGCGGCCATACTCGTAGCGCGTGAGCTCTTCCGGCGTCGGCACCGTCGGCACGATCGTGAACGCAGCGTGGTCGAGGTAAAAGTCGTCGTCGTGCTGGCTCATGTGGTGGTGGTGGTGGTGGCCGTCATAGTGGTGGTGGTACTTGGTCGGGCTCTGGTTGCCGTACGGCATGTACGGGCGCGGCGCCTGGCTGTAGCTGTACATGGGCGACGAGCGCTGGCGCATGTGCGAGTCGTCATGCAGCGTATACGGGTTGTAGGCGGCCATGCCATGGACGGTCTGCGAGTACATGGTGCGGATGTGGAGGTGACTGGCGGCCGGCAAATGCGAGAATGACTCGGGGCCGGCCGGCGGGCACATGTCGCGCGAGTATATGGGCCTTTGTATGCGATACTTTGCCGCCGGTTGCCTGTAAAAAAGCAGCAAAATAATTTTATTGCAAAATACAGCGTGCGTCCGATCAGACGGGGTAGGGTTACCGAAACGCAGCCAATCACCACCGCCACAGAAAGTCCGTTGTCCAATCATACGCGTTTGTTGGCTCAACAGCAACCCGTCGGCAAATTAATATCCTGGCGGCCATTAGTCACACGAGGCGTTCAGCGTTTCGATACTTTTTTGTCAACGGGCGGAGCTGCCTACAAAGCCCAAGATGATAAAATAAATCAGCCCCGACGGGCCAGCTGCCCCGTAGCCAGGCGGTGTGATAAACTGGGTCGATGGAATTTGAAAGGATCCATACAAACACCAAGTCAAATAAAAATGCGAAATGCAGCAGGCTATCACCCGCCGGGCGTCTATGCATCGGCGGCGATCGGAAGCATGGCCGCCGTCCATGCACCCGCCTCCTCCATGTAGCTCAAATACCTCCGTCCATGGAGATCATGAAGCGCTCGGCTGCCATGCGGTGCGCCATCATCATGAGGATGCAGCGTCACGACATGCAGATCCGGAGGCACGGCAGCGTTCGTTCTGGCGCCTGACTCTTTCCTGCTGCTGCCACGTACACAGTGGTCGGTCGGTCGCACAAATCATGCGTGTTCTTAGTCGAGGGCGTAGTTGGGGTGGACGGTGAGGTATCGGTTCTGGATCGGGTCATCTTCATCGCCGCCATCTTCGACGACTTGGAGGAAGCCGTCTTTGATGAGCTTCTCGATGACCGAGTTGATGATCTTGCGCTCGTGCCCGAGCTGGACCTCGGACGTAATGTCTTGGGACGAGAGGTACCACGTGACGACTTCGGCTTGGAGCACGCCGCACTCCCACGCGTCGAGCGCGTCGTCCTCTTCCGTGCGGAGGCTCGGGTCGGCCGCGCGCTCGGCTTGTGACGTGACTTTGTACGCTTCCATCTCCTCCTCCTTCTCGCGAATAAAGAGCGCGAGCGCCTTCTGCACGACGGCGAACCGTTCGAACGAGATCGAGCCCGCGTCGGTCTCGACGTCCTTGGCCGTCTTCTTCTTCTTCGTCGTCTTCTTTGTCGTCGTCGGCGTCGAGGCCTCGCTTGTCGCGTCCATGGCCATCGGCGCTTCGTGGTCGCTGGCCTCGATCGGGTCGACATCGGTGGGAGGCAGCGTCGGCATGTCGAGCTCGATGGTTTCCGTGTCGACGTGGATGATCGACTTGTTGAGGAGTCGGTAGGCCTCTTGGACGTGCTCGACCTGGACGGTCTCCTCGAGGTCTAACCTGGCGAGCGCCTCCGAGAGGCGGATCATCGACTCGAGCTGCCGCACCGTGATGCGGTACGCAATGTTGCTCTGGCCGTTGCTCGTCACATCGTTCTCGCGCAAGCGGCGGTAGCACGCGACCATCATACGCTTGGCATCTTCGGTGATGACGGGACTGAGCGTGCGCGCAAACTTGATGTAGCGCTGGAGCGCTTCTTCCGGGTACGCTTCGACGTGGTCCGCGTCCGACTGGAGCGCCCGCGGCTTGTGGAGGTTCACGATGTGCTGCGCGATGCGCTCGTCCGCCTGCTCGTTGCACTCGTCCAAGATCTAGATGGCAGATCTCAGATCTCAGATCTTAGCGCCACGCATATTTTTCGTACGACAAAGAAGAGGTCAAAGCGCGACATGATCGGTGGCGAGATATTCACATTGTACTTGAGCGTCTACGCTCGCTCGCTCGCATGAGGAAGATGCAAGCTGGAAGAGAGGGCGCACCTTGGTCTTGTCGTACCGGCCGTTCTGGGGGTTGGCGGCCGCAAGGATCGATGTGCGGGCGTTGAGCGTGGCTTGAATCCCGGCCTTTGTGATCGAAATGGTCTGCTGTTCCATGGCTTCGTGGATCGCGACTTGGTCCATCGGGTCCATCTTGTCAAACTCGTCGATGCAGCAGATGCCATTGTCGGCGAGCATGAGGGCACCGGCCTCGACGCAAAACTCGCCCGTGTCCGGGTCCCGCGACACGGACGCCGTGAGACCCGCGGCCGTGCTCACTTTGCCGCTCGTGTAGATCGCGCGCGGTAAAAAGTTGACAATGTACTTGAGAAACTGACTCTTGGCCGTCGACGGATCGCCCTAGTCGCAAGGTTTCTGTGGATCAAGTGGGCCACGAACGAGGCGTACGACGATGCAAATGTTGATGTCGCCGCGCAACTTGATGCCTTCGGCCGTCGTCTTGTGCACGCCGCCAAAGAGCATCAAGAGGATGCCTTTGCGAATCTCGTCGTGGCCGTAGACACTCGGACAGAGCGACTTGGCCATCTTGGTGTACCGGTCGGCCTCGGCCTTCATGAGCCGAATTGACTCGAGCTCTTCTTCGGTAAAGTCGTTCTCGGTCTCTTCGCCCATCTCACTGCGGATCGAGACCCGATCGAATCGCTGGGCCATGGTCTACATGGAAATCGATATCAGATCTGATTTCGGGATTGCAGATCTGGTTTGTGGATAGGATGATGAGGTACCTGCACCGAGCACGCCAAGAACGCCGTCTTGTACGTCAATTCTTTGACGCCCATGGACTTGAGACCTCTGACGCCTTCGCCTTCCATGCCGTACGAGCTATTTTCCCCTACATCGCGTCAGTATTCTTGTGAGTTTCAAGACGCAGATACGTAGATTACCTCCTCGTCGCGTCACGACGTTCTCGCCCCCGTTCTTCCCAAAGCGGGATGTGTCTGGTACGACGATGAGCGCGCCCGTAAAGACGACGCGGTCGCCCGCCTTGGCCTGCTCGACGTTCTCGTGCCGAAGAATGACATCGATGGACCGGGGCATGCTCCCGGCGGGGATTTCGTCGCTGTTTTCCTGCACCTTGACCTTTTGCCAGTCGACAAAGACGCTCTTCTCGGGGTGCAGCTAGCCGCATTGCTGTGTCTTGCAACCGGAAGAGGCCATCGTGACATACCTCCCATTGGCTCGTATTGCCACAAAACGGGTTGGCGCACTTGACGGGCTCCATGTAGCGGAACTGCTGCTCGACACCTTCGACGACGCCGCCGCAGTCGACGCACGTAAAGGCGCCGAAGAGTAGCTCGGGTCGCACCTCGCTCGTGCGCGTCGCGGTGCCCGAGAAGCTGTTCATTTTGCCGACCTCGGTCATCTTCAATTGGCGGATCTTGCGCACCGTCGTAAAGTTGTAAAAGCACACAAAGGTCTCGCGGCCCGTGTCGCAAAATTCGGCCGCCGCCTGCCGCAGCGGGATCTCCCAGCGCAAGTACGCAGTCGCGATCGCCTGCGCCAAGTCGGCGTCGGCGGCGAAGAGCCGCGAGTAGTCGACAAAGAGCGACGAGGTCTCGGACTGGCGCATGAGCTCCTTCTGCTGCTCGTACGAGACCTCGCTCCGCAGGTGGTTGAGGAAGCGCATCTTGACGACCTCGGCGGTCTCGTCGACCACCAGCTCGATGCGCGGCGCCTGCGGCACGGCGCCGCCGCCGCCGGTTCCTTGGCCGCGACCTGCCATGGATCTCGCGTTTTGTCAAGTGATAGTATTCGACCGTGTTTTAATGCACCTTGCGAGTGGTGCGGCAGCGAAACACTTGGCTTTAGTATTGAGAACTTACTTGAAGGGAAAAGGCCATTGTATTTTTATGGCGTTTTCATCCTCGTGTTTTCGCGCGAAACTTGGGGATTCTACGGATACCGATCCCAACATCCGTAGACCAGCGTATTTGGGGCCGCGACGCGCTGGCACGGGCGACGCCCATGCAGCCGCAAGCCCGCCGTCTCCGAGATCGACCGTACGTACGTGTGCCACGAGAAGGTACGACCTTCCCGCACCGGCTCGAGCAGCGTTGAGTGCATGCGGAGCTACGGTCGCGGGCGTGGCCAACGACGTAGGAAAGCTGCGACGGATCACAACGAGATTCGGGTCGCGATTCCTTGCACACGGGCGCATCCGGTCCATGCATGCTCCGAATGCAATATGTGTACTTCATTTCTCAACTCGCACATAGCGTGCAGGGGTTAGTCGCGAGCTGCTCTTGGGATCTCGACATCGATGGTGAAGACGGCGAGAAGCGGACGGCCATCGACACTCGTGACCGCGCCAATGTGCTCCTCGTCTTCGATCTTGTACATGTGAAACTCAAGCTGGAATGCGACGGGGTCGCTTGCGTTCGCGCCCTACCGTTCATCGTTTCGTTTCATGCAATGCGATATGGTGGCGCCACGGACCTGCACCTTGAACTTGGCGTAGTTGCGCGACGTGAGCACCGTCTTTGTCGGGTCGGACGTGACATCTACAAGCATACGATTGCATGCCACTATGGACTTGCCTTGCGCAGCGCACCGTCAAACTTGGCGACCTCGGCTGGCGACGTGTCGATCAGGTTGGGGTCTTCGTATGCGCCGACGGGTAGCGGTCCCGATGGCACGGCCGGCTACAACGCAAAAGGATTCCTGCATACAGATATGCAATGAAAGCAGCGAAGTACGGTGAACGGGGCCGCATCGTCGCTCGCCAGAGCCTTGGCCACGACCGTGAGGACAACGTCGTCTTCGAGTGGGTTCTCGAGGAGGAGCCAGCAGTGGTCGTTCGCCCACAGCGTTTGGATGGTCACGTTCGGCACGAAGTGGATGCCAAGCGTCGCCTTCTTCCACCACGACGCCGACACGACCATGGAGCTGTCGCCCGTCATCGGGTTGATCTGCGGCTTGACGAGGATACCTGGGTTGTTCTTGGCCATGGCTTCAACACAGCGCCACGAGCGCTTCACGCGGAGGTCTGGCCGCGACGGGTATAGCGCGGAGACGTCTCGACTCTGCAAAAGAGGGTTGCAGCGATAGCGCTGGTGCAACGTCGAGATCGTCGACATGTCCTTCTTCGATGCGAGCGCGACGACAGCGTCATCGTCGTCGGCGCAGTCGAAGCTCTTGTGGTTGGGGAACTTGGCCCGCAGCGCCGCGGCCAGCTTTTGGTCTGTCGGCGACAGCACGTTGTCGATACTGCGCTTGTGCAACTTCTCATCGAGCTGCTCCATCTTCCAGCCCAAGGTGGACGGCGCTTTGACCTGAAAATGGGGCTTGCCAAACCTAGTGCCGCCCCTGTCATTTCCATCTTCAAGACATCGAAAACGGTACCGAGCGAGGGAGCCAAACGCGAGTGGTTTGGCGGGTGCGCCGCTGCATGCTGCGCCGACGCTTGTTGGTAGTGCGACAGGAGCGTATCAAAGACGTGGTCGTCGCGCTCGCGCGTGTTGGCCACCATCGTGAGCGTGTCGGGGTCGTCGTCGGCCAGGATCGCCTCCGAGTCCCAGCGGCAGTGGGCGCAGAAGAAGATGTACTTGTCGCTTGTCTTGATCGTCTGCAATGTGCTCGCGCAGTCGGGGCACGCAAACGTCCGCGCCGACCGGTTCTTGTAGGCCGCCGCCTCCTTGGACGGGAGGTTGTCCATTTGGAAGCGGCAAAAGTACGAGTCGATCTCCTGGAGCGAGCACGTCGGCCACGGGCACACGAGCTTGTTGCACGAGTCGCTCCAGTAGAGCTCGGCCAGCGGGTAGCGCCGGCCGCACGGGCATGCGTATCGGATCGGCATGCCAATTGACGTACCACACCATTTCCGTGCGCTAAATTCGGCAGGATCTGGTCGCTCAGCTCTAACGTGGCACATCAGGTGGCAAATGCCGAGAAACACGATCTGCGACGGTCTCAAAAGATCGCGCGGGAGCGCCCTCGGATGCTTGCCTAGCGACAACAAATCGCTACAATAACCCTCGGAATGCAGTCGATTAAGGTCTCTCTCTGTGCCAAGTTGCCCGCCCATGGCAAACATGACGGCTGCTCATGGCGCTCGAATTGGTCGAGTAGCAGAGTCACCATGAGGAGCAATGTATGACTCGTCATAGAAGAGCCTAGATCTGCCATTGTGTGTGGAATGGTGCTGGAGGATGGTCGCTCCTCGTAGCGCTGGTTGCGGTGCAATCCTCGCAGTCAAACTACGTATGTCGTATCCTACACCATATCGGAAACGAATCCACGCAAATAGTGTGTTTGTCCCTTGAACCTGGGGCAAACCAGATGGGATGCGCATTGCGTTTTCAAAGGTATCGATTGATAGAGGTAAAGCCACCATGAACGTTCTCAATTTTCCGTATGCAAGATCCGCAGGTATTAATTGTGAGAGAAGATTCAAGGGACAGGGCCGATGCGTGCAGTGGATTGGTTGAAAAGAAAAGTAGAAGCGGTCGTGATTGGTGCACTTTAGGTTGGTGGGGAATCCGTTGGCACGATTTGACTGGTGGAGAAGTGCAGCAATAGCGGCGGCGATGGCCATTCCCGTTTTTTGGTTTGCTTTCTTCCTGTCGTCCTTTCCCGGCGGCAACGAAGATCTCGAATCAACCTCCTTCCTTCCGAACCAACAAAAAGTAAAAAAAACATGGCCTCCGCTGCCCCCTCGAGCCCCGTCGCCGCGACGAACGCCGCCCCTGTGGCCTCGCCTGCCGCGCCGGCGCAGCCGTTCCACACGGCGTCGCTCTACGTGGGCGACATCCACCCCGACGTGACAGAGGTAACCTGACCATTTCCTCGAGGCACGACGAAAATTTCCATATCGCGTGTGCACAGGGAGAGACCGCTCATGCATTCTGGCCGCATAGGCGTTGCTCTTTGAGATCTTCAACGCCGTCGGGCCTGTCGCGTCGATCCGGGTGTGCCGCGACGCTGTCACGCGCCGCTCGTTGGGCTACGCGTACGTCAACTTCCACAACGTCTCGGACGCCGAGCGCGCGCTGGACACGATGAACTACACGAGCATCAAGGGCGTGCCGTGCCGCATCATGTGGTCGCAGCGCGACCCGTCGCTCCGCAAGTCGGGCGTCGGCAACATCTTTGTCAAGAACCTCGACGTCTCGATCGACAACAAGGCGCTCTACGACACGTTCTCGCTCTTCGGCAACATCCTCTCGTGCAAGGTCGCGATCGACAACACGTCGGGCGGCTCCAAGGGCTACGGCTACGTGCACTACGAGACGGCCGAGGCCGCCAACGAGGCCATCGCCAAGATCAACGGCATGCTCATCGCCGGCTCGGAGGTCTTTGTCGGCCACTTCCAGAAGCGCCAGGACCGCCCCGACCTCGCGGACTGGACCAACTGCTACGTCAAGAACATCCCGCACAACTGGGACGACGCGACGTTGCGCAAGGAGTTTGAGGTGTTTGGCTCCATCACGAGCTGCGTCGTCATGAAGGACGCCTCGTCCGAGGGCAACCGCGGCTTTGGCTTTGTCAACTTCGACGAGCCCGAGTCGGCCCAGAAGGCCGTCGAGGCCCTCAACGACAAGGTTGTCGGCCAGGAGGACGGCGCGGACATTGCGCTGTACGTCGGCAAGGCCCAGAAGCGCAGCGAGCGCGAGCGTGAGCTCCGCAACAAGTTTGAGGCGCTCAAGATGGAACGCATCAACAAGTACCAGGGCGTCAACCTGTACGTCAAGAACCTCGACGACCAGCTCAACGATGACGAGCTCCGCGAAGCGTTCACGACCTGCGGCACGATCACGAGCTGCCGCATCATGAAGGACCCGTCGGGCAACTCGCGCGGCTTTGGCTTTGTGTGCTTTGCCACGCCCGAGGAGGCCACCAAGGCCGTCACGGACATGAACGGCAAGCTCGTCTCGGGCAAGCCCATCTACGTGGCCCTCGCCCAGCGCAAGGAAGTGCGCCGCGCCCAGTTGGAAGCGCAGCACGCCCAGCAGCGCGCGTCCGGCATGGTCGTCGGCCGTGGCATGCCCATGCAGCAGCCGCCCATGTACGGCGCCGCGCCCATGTTCTACGCGCAGCCCAACCAGATGCCGCCGCAGTCGCGCCAGGGCTTCGTCTACCCGCAGCAGATGATGCCGCGTGGTGGCATGCCCCGCGGCCCGATGCCGTACCGCCAGCCCGGTGCCCCGGGCCCGGCCGGCTACGGTATGCCCCAGTACGGCATGCCCATGCAGGGCCAGCCGCGCCAGCCGCGTGGCCGTCGCCCGCAGGGTCAGGTCCCGCCGCAGATGCAGGGCCAGCCGCGCAACAACCGCAACAACTTCAAGTACACGGCGAACGCGCGCAACCAGCCCGAAGTCGCCCCGGCGGCGCCGGCTGTCCCGGTCATGGAGCCGCTCACGTCGGCGGCGCTGGCGGCCGCCTCGCCCAACATGCAGAAGAACATGATTGGCGAGCGCCTCTTCCCGTTGATCGAGAAGTCGCAGCCGTCGCTTGCCGGCAAGATCACGGGCATGCTCTTGGAGATGGACAACGGCGAGCTGCTTCACTTGTTGGAGAGCCCGGAAGCCCTCGAAGGCAAGATCACGGAAGCGATCGCTGTCTTGGAAGCCCACATGGCCGCGGAAGAGTAAAGGAGGAAGACAAGCAACCACCAAAGGGAATGAGACCGAGACTAGACGTTATTTTTGTTGCAATGAAAATGGCCTTTTGTTCTCGCGTCAGACTCCGCCCATCGTGTCGTCTCTGCGTTGATCATCGCACACCATCGATCCCTCGCCCCTGCAGCACTCGTTAAAGCACTCGTCTTGCTGAGGTTGGCGCTCCAGATGTTCCTCGTCGACGATGATGCGACTGATATATATATCTGAGTCATCGCCCGTACGGTACTCTTCGAGCACGACGGCGCCGACTTGCACGCTACCTGCTACGAGCGCCGAGCTCTCATGGCGGCAGTCGACGGACTGCGCTGTTGATTTGGTCGACTATTTCCGCCACACAAAAGAATCGCGAGCTTTTACAGGCAGGCGGTATTCGCCAATTCTACCTCCAGTACCGAGATGGAGACGCTGGCGTGGTCTCAGGACCGAGTCTCGCTCGGCGACGACACCTTCTACACGGACAAACTCGTCAAGACGCGCAGCGACCGCGTCGTGTCCTTTGCGCCGACGGTCGACACGGCGTCGGATGCGAGCCTGTCGCCGCGGACGCCCCACGGGACGCTGCTCTCGGCGTGGTCGTCGATCAGCGACTCGAGCTTTGCGCAGCTGCTTCCGTCCTTGTCCGAGGTCGAGTCGGAGGACGCCCGAGGAGCCGAGCGCGACGACGGAGCCTATCGACTGGATCGCGCGACCCAACCGGACGAAAACGAGACGGGCGAGGACGACGAGTGGGTGCCACGCCACGCCGAGGTCTGGCGCCGCAGCGCATCCGAGCTCGCCGACTGTGTTGCCGCCGCCTTGGCGAGCAGCCGCAGTGGCACGGTGGAACCGACCAAGAACCAGCTGCTGGCGAAGCGCATCTTGAAGCCGGACCGCACGATCCCAAGGACAAAGCTGCGCTTTCTGCGCCGGCGGACGACGCGCGTCGCCTTCTCGACCGCGACCATATACGAGTTTGCGCGGACGCTTGGCGGCTGCACGGTGCCCACGCAGGCCGATGGCCCGTCGCTCGGCATGGCCTATCACCACACACGAGTGCGCGTCGAGTTCGTCTCGGTGCGCGGCCGTAGAGAGGCCCTCACGCCGCTCGCCCTTTCCGACCGGTATGAGCTGCTCTGGGCGGCAGGCTGCGCCGCCGATGCGATGGACGACGCGTGGGCCGAGACGGAAGCGCTCCACGCGCATCGGATGGCCGCGCTCCGAGAACTGGTCGCGGACGAGGACGCGGCGCTGGAGAAAGCGTGGCGCAGGTGGACCGTGCGCCAGTGCATGCTCGCGCACACGACCTCCCTCTAATGGCACAACCGAGTCCGCGTCACGCTCCGCCGTCT